ACCTTTATCTCAGAGGTTCTGCCAGGCGTCTGTGGCGGCTCTGATCCTTCCCCCGCATGGTCTCACCCAAGATGGCGGCTCCTGGAGCAGCCGAGCGTCCCGGACTAGAAAGCAATAGATTTCTTGCTTCTGCCACAAATTCCCCCATCTGTGAGCCTTCCAACTTTCAAATATTCTGTTATATGTGGTTCAGAGTTCTGGGACCATCCCCTGAGCCTGCTTGGTTGGATGTTCTGTGTTGTTGGCGGAGCTCTTTAGTACACGTCCACCCGATCTGCCATCTTGTTTGTTCCTTTTGAATTGAAATGCTAAACAATCTTAAACATTCTAAAAGTTTTTGATATTCCTTTATTTTTCAATATGAACTGAAGATATCTATAACTCTTAATTCTAGGGAAAATTGCCACATGAAAGCAGAACACCAAATGAATTATAAACAAATTTCCACTGGGGGTCTGGAATAATGAAGCTATTAATGAATTGACCTCACGTTTGGAAATTGTTCATTCTTAATTTTCACTTTCTGCCATTTCATTTGTTACCTAATATATGTATACAATTCTTATTCCATGATTAATTTACTTTTATATCATTTTAATATATATTGCTTGTTTAAAGATATCTGTGAAATCATTTCTCTGACACACAGTTAATACGTTTTTAAAGTTGTTGTTGTTGTTAAGTGCAGTCAAGTCGGTTCTGACCCATTGCAACCCTGTATAGGGTTTCTGAGAAGCGGCTGGTTAATCTGAACCGCTGACTTTGTGGGTCAATCTGATCATGTGATCCAGTGCTTATGCTACAGTACATCAGGACACTTCAAACTAGTTAAATCTCAACTGTAAAGAGAAAGTGTTCTATACATTCCTATAACAAGCCCATTCAGGCATTGTTGCTGTTAAGTGCTTTCGAGTTGATTCCAACCCATAACGACCCTGTATAGGGCTTCCAAGGAGCAGCTGGTGAGCTTGAACCACCGACCTTGCAGTTCAAATGACTTTGTAGTCTGACCCATTAGACTACAGTGCCAAATTAGTCAGCCCTCATTTTCATTGTTCCCTAAATCAGGATCTGCATTTATCCAATACTCCCTAAGCCATCCTATACTTCCCCACCCTACATGGCCCTTAAATTTTATGCACATTGAATTTAGGAAATCTTGTTTTCAACTAAAGGGTCCATCTCATTTAATTGGATCTCTGAAGTACCTGTTAAGTGTTAGGTAAATGATGCAAACCAATTGCCTTCCAGCCAGCTTACACTCAGCCTCTTGACCTTTGGGATATTTAGCTTAAAAGGAACAATCAAGTAAGCAAGGGGGAGGGGGTAAACTATTTTGGGGCCTCATTATTCTGTAGCTTATTGTTGAAAGAGCAACATCACTTTGGGCATTATCTCTGTTCTCAAGTATCTAGATTTTTATATGTGGAGTTTCAAAATGGATATGTGAGGATCTGAATATTTTTTAGAATAAATAGGTAGATAATAATGTAGAGAGATAAACAGAGAAAGTGACGAAATAAAACTAGGGAAAATGCAAGGGCAGCAGTATGATAAAAGTATCCATGTGTTTCAGAGTACAACAGTACTTCATAGGGCTTTCAATAGCTGTGACTTTTCAGAAGTAGATCACCAAGACTTTCTTTCATTTAACTATTTATGGTTAAAATTATATCACAACTGTGATTTTCTGCAGAAGAATCATAAAACAAATTAACAACAACAACCATTTGAAAACAGCCGTAAAGATTAACTTGGGTGTTTATGCATTAATTTTCTCCACCCATTCTCATCCTATGTTGCTGGTAAATGTAAAATGCATAGCTGTTCTTATAGTACATGTTGAGTAATCCCTGGAAACTCTTTTGCTTTGCTTCTAATATCATATCAAAATAGTTATATTTTATAAAATGTTATCACAATTTTTTCCCCTGAGCTTTGAAAAATTGAACATTATTGTGTGGTTTTTATTTTAGATTGGAGACTTAGTATACATTATAGAAGGAAAAGGTTTGATCCCCTTGCCTTCTAATTTTTTTCCTTCGAGTTCTTCAGATGATTCCAATGGTTCTCCACATGAAGGTAGAGTACAAATTTGTTTTATTTCACTTCTAATTTCGAAAGGTGGGACTAATTCTCATATTATAAGCTAGCCATCCTCACAGCCATGTTTCAAGTATTTAATTAGATTTTGGAAGACTCCCTTTTAGTTTTATTATATCATCATCCCTGTCATAGAGTACCGCTTTAATGTTTTAATCTTGAGATATATATTGAAATTTGGCTTGTAAAATATTTTCTCAACAAAAATCAATTTTTAAGGTAATTTGGAATTCGCTATATACCATATGTCTTTATAATGTATGGAATTCTACCCTGCTCTCTTGTTCCTTAATCAATGACCCTTAAAGAAATAAGCTTTAAAGCAGAAGATTTTTGGTGAAAGAAAATAGCAGATCTTGCCTGTCCTTGTCTCGATATCTTCACATATATCTCTTCTCCTGACTTCTAATCTCTCAATGGAGCTTGATGGAAATTGAATTTTTTGAGTATGCTGATGATATGCCTATGAGAAAACCATCTCACTAGAACTCTTGGAAGTGAATGTCAGCAAGATGTGTTTCCTCTAATTTCTAGGGATTTCTTTTTGAACCAGCAATTTAGAATCACTACAAATATGCTACTCATTTATATTTACTCTGCTTAATAAAGGTCATAACTGCAGTTTTATATATTTCAAGCCTCCCAAATCCATTTTGGATAACAGTATTGAGAGCTATACTGTTCATCACATTCATCAACTTTTTTGTCTTCTCTAGTGCCTAGTACGGACGATTCAGTTGTGTATTTGAACTGCAAGGCCCATCAAGTCGTAGATGTGGAGCTTAAATTGCCACTGGTTAATGAAGCCAAAGAAAAGGCATTGGCTTTTGCAGCCCAGCAGCAGATGTCCGATCTTGAATTAATGAGAAGGTTGATCACAGGCACTCTTGAAAGCAGCAGTGTCCGTGTGGCCGTTGCCATTCTGGGGCTGACTGCCATTGAGGTGGGAATGGAGGACAGATGATGCACTTAAATTATTCTCTCTTTAAAGATATAAAGAGCTTCTATTACCTAATAATAAGGAGCGCTGGTAGCGTAGTGGTTACAAGTCCGACTCCTAACCTCAGGGTCAGCATTTCGAAACTACTGTTTTGAAACAGTCCAGCTGTTTCGTGGGAGAAAGATGAGGCATTCTAAGAAACTCTATGCAGGGTCACTATGAGTCGGAACCGACTCCATGGCACACCACCATCACCACCATGACCTAATAATAAGTAATCATTAGGATTATTTTAACTGTATTTTACCTAGAAAATCGATAGGTTTCCACTGATGAGCACTGGGATTTTTATTGGTTTTTTTTTTTTTTTTCCCTGAAGAAGGCATTATCAGTAGCTTCGTCTTCTTTTTTTTAACCTTAATTTAGTAAACGACAACAAAAAATCTCCTTGGATTCCCAATGCACTTTTGGTATTTATTATTGCATTGATCAAATTTTGTTATCATTTTATACTGACCTTGTTTCTCTCACCAGATTTTCATTGTCTAGAACTCTAAAAACCTTTAATCATGCATTATGGTATTCTGTCCTTGTTTAATTGAGTTGAATACTTGCCTGAACAAACGAGTGACACTTTTAACCTGCCTGACTCACACTCGTGGGGCTGGCTTTATTTAAAAATTTTAAAACTGGGGAAATACTGTAGTAGATTGTGTGTAGGGGAACATTTGCATGGGATTGAGTTGTAACCCAAAATATGTGAAGGAACTAAAAATATAAAACCTGAATAAAAAGGACTTTTGGAGATTTGTGGAGGGGTGATACTTAGCTGTTTTTTTATATATTCACAGAATGATCATTAGCAAAAAGAGAAGGGCTCACTCTGTACTGCTATTAAGAACAATGAGTAGATGTTAAGGAAGGCAGGTGTCAACTTCCTTAGCCCGGTTCACTAGTGGAATGGTTTCTTCCAGTGGCAAAGAATTCTTCAGCACTGTGCATCCTTCAGTAAAGCATGACTCCAATGGTTCTGTGAACCTGTTGGTAGTGCCTTTCTCCAATTAAATATAATTGTAGCTAAAGAAATGAATAAATTCAACCCCTTCATCAATTTGGACAATAATAAAAGGCATATGGAATCTAAATGCATAATTCTACCATTTATGTTTTGGAGGTAAATGTTAAGAAAATTACATTCCAATTTTATTCTGTTTATTTGCAGACTTGCATGCTCTTTAACACTTCAAAGTTGAGGAAGCCTAAGTCTATTTTATATATGGTTGAAGCAAGTCTTCCAGAATATTTCCAAATGCCCAAGAAAATCTCTATCCCTCAGGTTTCGGAAACATCAGGTAAGCCTCAAGGAATTAAATCTTCAAATAAAAAAAGGTAATCAGTAATGTGTGGATTGAAATATCTAGCTCTGTTCTATGCACTGAGCTATTATCTCTGCTCACAAGCTGTTCATAATATCATTGAAGTGATGGTTCAGCTACATGGATAATGATTATTGAATAATACTTGGCATTGATCATATTGTTGTTGTTGTTGTTGTTATGTGCCATGGAGTTGGTTCTGACTCATACCAACCCTGTACAGGGTTTCCGAGGTTGTAAATCTTTATGGGAGCAGAAAGCCTCATCTTTCTCCCGAGGAGCAGCTGGTAGTTTTGAACTGCTGACCTTTCAGTTTGCAGCCCAATTCGCAACCACTACGCTACCAGAGCTCCTTATTGATCATATTGGAACACAATAAATTATGTACTGAATATGAGTGCTAAATTACTGGACTGAAATTTGCAGACTTATATGTGTTAAAGAGTGGTTGTGGTGGTGGTGATGTGCCGTGGAGTCGGTTCCGACTCAAAGTGACCCTGTATAGGGTTTTTGAGGCTGTAAATCTTTACCGGAGAAGAAAGCCTCAACTTTCTACTGTGGAGCGGCTGGTAGTTTCCAACTGCTGACCTTGCAGTTAGCAGCTGACCTTGTAACCCATGGAGTTGAAGCTTAAGTTAAGTGGGAGGTTGATAGCAAGAGCACATGTGAGAGAACAATGTATCATATATAAGCAATTTATCTTTGAGCAGAACTAGGGTCTTTGTTAGTTAAGGTTTGTCCTCCTGGTGCTATTTAATTGTTATCATGATCAGGAATGAAATAACCAGATTTAATACGAATATTGGAATCCTGGTGTGGCACTGTGGGTTAATGTGCTGGACTGCAAGGTCAGTTTGAACTTCAAAGTTGGCTCATCAGCCTCTCCTTGGAAACCCTATACAGGGTTGCTATGAGTCTTAACTGACTTGACAACACTTAATAACAACAACAACAATATGAATATTGATATGTTACATTATTGAATACAAGTGATGGTATGTATATCATGTGACTATTCAATTTCAAATACTCAAAATTAATTTCTTTTTACTTCATTCCAAACTGTTGGATAATAATAAGAATATAATTTTTTGACTATTCCTAGAACGTATAGAAACTCCAGTGTCAGAGAATCTAAGTTGTGTTTTTGCTAACTTTGGTTTTCTTAATTTTTGTATTTGTTATTTCTCTGGCCTTATGTTAATTATAAAATAACTTTAAGTCAGAATTAGTGGCTACACATTGTAAATTAGGGGACAATATGTTCTCTTGGCATTGCCAGGAAAGCTGGGATTCCAAATTATAATGCTAAGTGGCCAAACAGGTAACAAAGATATAAGAATTAGGTCTAGTATAGGGTGGTAGGGATGATGGACCCTATTGAAATAGAGAGTAGATGCCTTATCTAAACATTCCGTTTCAGAAGAACAAAATTTCAAGTCTGATCAGTCAAACAGCTGTGGGGCATATTTGACTTTCCAGCTGCCAGTTTTGAGAACCTTCACTTATTTTTGGTGGAGGCTTGTTTGCTGGATCCTATTACCTATAACCTCTTTCAGTGTTCTACTAAAATTCTAAGAGAATCCAGTTTTTATATAGCTTTGGGATCTTTTTTGAGATGACTGGATCAATATCTGCTGTATTTTCAAACCAGACTGGAGGCTGGGCAGAAGAAAAGAGCCCCATCACTAGGTTGGATTAGCTCAGAATTTGCCCTCAAAAACAGTTAGCTGGGAGCCTGATGAGGAATGCTTTTGCTTTTCCCTAGAGAGTCTTGACTGGTAGCTGGGTATATAGGGTTGCCTGTGTTTTGGGCTGTAGCAATCTGGATTGGAGTTTCTGTCTTACTGAGCTCAGAGGGGAAAGGAAGAAAGTGTGTCTTGGTCCAAATATCACAGACTTTCACTGTTCTTATTAAGTTTTTGTAGGTTTTCTTTAACAAATGTTTATTTGCTACATGTCCTTAGGACAGTTTCCAGAAACTTAACCCTGGTAGTGTAGTTGATTATGAGCTGGGCTGCTAACTGCAAGGTCAGCAGATCGAATCTATCCTTCGCTCCTCAGGAAAAAGATGAGGTTGTAAATAAAGATTTACAGTCTCAGCAATCCTATACAGGGTTGCTATGAGCAGAGAATATCAGAAAGATGTTTACTTGTGCTTTATTGACTATACAAAGGCTTTTGATTGTGTGGATCCTGACAATCTATGGACAACATTGTGAAGTATGAGCATTCTAGAATACTTAATTGTGCTCATGAGGAATCTGTACATGGACCAAGAGGCAGTTGTTCGAACAGAACATGGAAACACTGAATGGTTTAAAATT